GCGACTTCCTCCCCCATGTTCCCCCCCAATCACCATCACTATCATCATCATCATCATCATTACCATCATCATCATCATCATCATCAATCTACCCGTGCAACCCCCTTTTTTTAACCCTACCTACCACGCTACCACCCAATCAATCGTAGATAGGATCGCTCCGCCCTCGATTTACATCAAAACTAATTTATTCCTTATTTATTTATTTTTTTATTTCTCTTGTTTTTAGAACTCATGTGAAATTCATGTAAATTCAAAAATACTTAATTAACTATCTTTCTCGACATTTCTTTTTCAAAAATATTTTTTTTTTCGAAATTTTTGAAAATACGTAGGATTAATCATTCTTTTCTCGGCATTTCTTCTTCGGAATTCGAAAATAATTTTAATTAATTCTTTTTTGAAATTTTTGTAACTCGAAAATCTTTTAAAATTAATCAAATTCTTTTTTGACATTTACGTTTTTTTTCATGATTCGAAATACATAGAATTAATTAATTATTTTTTGACTCCTTTGAAATTTGAAACTACTTTTCATTCATTCTTTTTCAAAAATTTTAAAAATACGTTAGAATCTAGGCTACTAGAGTGGCCCGGGGTGACTTGCCCGGCCGGGCCAAAAAAATAAAAATAAAAGAATTATTTTCTTATTTTATTTTGTATTCTAAATTTAGTGAAGAATTTCGATGTGACCCTGAGGCAAAAGTTGTTCAGTTTATTGTTCTGCATAACACAGTGTTTTTTTTTGGATTTTTTGGATTTTTTGGATTTTTTTTTTTTTTTTTTTTTTTTGCTGGGGCCTTCCCTGGTCCTTGCACGGGCTTTTGCCACCCGGGACCCGGGCAGCCCGGCTGGTAGCCTAGGTTAGAATTAATTCAATTCTTTTTTTATATTTCTTTTTTTTTAATTAAAAAATAATTTTACTTAATTCCTTTTCTTATATATTTTAATAAATTCTCTTTCGAAATTCTTGAACTTCGGGAATATTTTACTTAATTCCTTTTGAAATTTCACGCTTTTCATACCCCAAAATTCATTTCGGATAAATTTAACCAGAATTTTTTTTTTCGAATTTTTTTTTTTTTTCTTTGATATTTTCAGCATTTATTTCATTCCTGAAAATTTCGTGTTTCCAACTTTTCTCCCGCGAAATCCTTTTCGAGTTTTTGAATTAATCTCGAATAAATTACTCCAAATCGGAATAATTTATTTTGAATTAATTCTCATTTAATTCATTTATTGTTTTGGAAAATACCTTTACTTATTTTTGAATAAATCAATTCATTTTGTAAATACCCTCCCCACCCCCACCCCCTGCCACTCCCGAATCTCCACATGCCACCACACCAAACCAAGACCTCCCACGCGCCGCCGCCGCCGCGTCTGCCTCCACCTCATACGCAGCAGTCGCCTCAGCCACTGCATCCACTCCATCTTCCCCCAACATGGCCCAATCCACCAGCATCGATATGACCGTCGTCAACACCCAGTCTGTTGCCGCTCACGAACTTACGGGCGAACAAAAATCCGAGCCCGTTGCCACGGATATCGCCACCCTCATTGGCATGATGTCCTCTTTCCAAACGGACATCCGCGCGTCCATCACCAAAATGGAAGCAACTATCTCTGGCCCATCCAACCGTTTGACCTCTATCGAGCATCAAACCCCGGCAATCACAGTGGTCACGACCACGACACCCACCTCTACGACCGTGCCCACATCCACCGCTCTTGAGTCCCAAACCACTACCCCCTCCATCCAGGTGGTCACCAGCACCACCCCCACGTCCACAGCCGCCTCCAGCCACACCCCCCCACCGACCTCCTCCACTCCTACTAACTCTACCACCACATCCACCACCTCTACCTCCTCCACCCTTTCCCCCCCCCTCATCCAGCGCTTCCAGCACACCGCCTCATTCCTCGCCTAACCACGTCACCCCTCTTCCCCCCCCGCACTTCCATACTATCTCACAACCCATCATGACGACCTCCACCATCCCCACCCCCTGTTCCACCTATTCCCAAGTCACCTTCGGGGTTTACCCCGCAATGCCACAAATTCCCCCCTACTACCTCCTTGATGACAACAACCAACTCGATTACACCTGCTACGACACTACCCCCGATAACCTCAACGTCAACACCCTCGCCCGGATCGTTTCCCGCGAAGGGGAAATCCACCATTCCTTCCAATCCGTCGACATCATGCCCTTCTTCGGCCTTCCCCACGAGAACGTTTTCCTCTTCCTTACCTAGCTCCAGAACTCTTTCAAGCTCCACCACATGCCCTTTGTCCATTGGCTTCCCATTGCCACCTCCCACCTCTTCGACAATGCCACCAAATGGTGAATTGCCGAAGTCAGCAACTGCCCCGCCTCCGGAGGACCGCGTCACTCCTTCCTCCAATGGGCCAACCTTCTCACTGCCACCTTCCGCCCCCAGAAAACCATCGATAACTACCTCGAACAATTTTGTCACCTCTGCCAGACAGGTCCCACGGACTGCTTCGTCCAATACATCTGCTCCCTCTGCCATCACCTCCCCACCACTGTCATTCCCGACTTTGCATTCATCTCCCGCATCAAGCGAGTATGCCACAAAGATCTTGCAACCGCCCTCGCCCACGAACCCGACATGCCCCTTACTGACCTCCTCTCTTGCATGCTTCACCACGATCAACTCCTCCACCCCCATCACCAATCCACGCCCGCTCCCTCTTGCCCCCGCTTTTTCCATAACATCACCTCTAAGGACACCACTCCATCCCCCTCCGATGACGACTTCGACACTGCCTCTCTCGACCCCTCCCGATTCACCCTTGAGGACCTACAGGCCGCCCACCTTATGCGGATGGAACGCAAGGCTCGTGCGTCCGGACTGCCTTTTTCCTCTCCACCCCGTCGTCTCCAGAAACTTGCACCCGAAGAACGCATATACCTCCAGGAACACAACAGATATTTTCGTTGCCGCCAGTTAGGTCATCAACAGACCAACTGCCCCAACGCTTGCCACTTTACTCGACAGGCCCCTCCCTCTATGGGACCCGACCCTTCTACTTCCACTTCTCCCTCGACCATGACATTTGGGCCCTCCTCCACCTGAACACTGTCCCCCTGACTCTTGCAACCCTCCCTCGGCATCGACCACTTGTCTGTCGGCTCTCCCATCGGTGACGATCTCTACTCCACCGGTGGCCCACTTGGCATCGACTATACGTCTGCCTACCCCCTCCCCGGTGATGCACATCCCATCGGACGACCCCCAGGTGACGCAGTCTACTCCGCCTTCCCCCCTCCCGACGACGTCTGCTATCCCGTCGATCGAGCTTCCCACTGACACCTGCTCTTCTACTCTCATCCCTAACCCCTCCTCCACCACGTTCTCCGATCTCGTTAAGGAACAAGCACGACACGATGGGCTTGTTAGATTAGGCTTGGAACAACGCCGCCTCAACACCATGATCTCTTCTGCTTGTGTCGGAACCGCACGGTTCCAGCTCAAGTTTATCGCCGTCTCCCTCGGCGCATCGACGGTGAAGTTTCGGGCCCTCCTTGATATTGGTGTCACCGACAACTTCATCATCGAAGCCTGTGTCCGCAAAGTCGGCCTCTCTTCCACCGGCTACGACTCCCCGATCACCATCCGACTAGGGGATAAGGACTCAGCCATCGTTGTCGATCGCACTGTCCCCAAGACCCTCATGACTGTTGGTCCTCTTCGCAGTCAGGTCTCCTTCGATGTCATGCACCTCATGTGCGACATCGTCCTGGGGACTCCATGGCTTGACCGTTTCATGCCCTACTCCTTCCACCCCTCCTTCGTTCGACTCACCCGCCCTCTTGACTCTCCTCTTGATATCCCTTACCTTCTCCCCCCTTCTACCCCACCCCCTGTCTCCCCTCACCAGTTCCTTCACATGTCTCGTGAATACCCCGACTCCGCTTACTATTGTCTTGTTATTGATCATGAGCGTCCCAAGGACTTGCTTCCAACAGACAAACCCGACCAAGACCCCCCTTCCAATCCTCACATCACCGCTCTCCTCTCTGAATTCAAGGACGTTTTCCCCGAGTCCTTGCCCGCCGGTTTCCCTCCCGATCGAGGTGTATCATAAAATGAAGTGCCAGCTCAATGAACTCCTTGAAAAAGGATTCATTAAGCCTAGCTCCTCCCCCTTCGGAACCAGTTGCCTCTTCGTCAAGAAGAATGGCACCTCGGAACTCCGCATGTGCACAGACTACCGTGCCTTGAACCGGATCACGGTCAAGAACAAGTACCCACTCCCCCGGATATGTGAACTTCTTGATCGCCTCCGTGGAGCCAAATATTTCACCAAGATCGACCTCCGCAGTGGCTTCCACCAGATCCGTATCCGCGAGGAGGACACCCACAAAACCGCATTCCGCTCTCGGTTTGGGCACTACGAGTTCCTCGTAATGCCTTTCGGACTCACCAATGCCCTCGCCACATTCCAGTCCACCATGAACTACATCTTCCGTGATCTCCTCAAAGTTTGTGTCATCGTGTACCTTGATGACATCCTCATCTTTAGCCCCACCTTCGAGTCCCACCTTCAGCACATTCGCCAAGTCCTCTCGATCCTCCGAGAGCAAAAATTCTACGCCAAGCTCAGCAAATGTACGTTTGCCGCTTCGAGCGTGGAATACCTTGGCCACATTGTCTCCGCTGAAGGCATCCGTATGGACCCCTCGAAGGTCACAACCCTCATCGAGTACCCCCCGCCCAAGACCCTCCTCCAACTCCGCTCCTTCCTCGGCCTTGCCAACTATTACCGCCCGTTCATTCGCAACTTTTATGTGATCTCTTACCCTCTCCACGAACTCACACGCAAGGACGAGTCCTTCAATTGGAACGATCGCCGCTAACACGCTTTCAACTTCCTCAAGCAAACCATCACCACGGCCTCTGTCCTCAAGATCGCCGACCCCGCTCGCCATTTCTATGTCACCACTGATGCCTTCGACTTCGCCATTAGAGTCGTATTGTCCCAACATTTCCCCCGTGACACCGCCGAGACCCCCTCCATCAAGGACTCGCCCACTCACCCTGAGGCTCCACCCGGCGAATACCCCATCGCCTTCGCAAGCAAGAAGCGGAGATGAATTACCCCTCCAATGAGAAGGAACTCCTCGCCGTGATTCACGCCCTCACAGGTACGGGTAATACTTCACCATCCGCACTAACAACACCATTGTTTCTTCCATCCTCACCAAGAAAGACATCACCCCACGCCAAGCTCGATGGCTCGACTTCCATGCCCAGTTCACATTCACCATTTGTCATACCCCCAGCAAAAGCAACCGCGTTGTTGATGCCCTCTCTCGAGGATCCGACCAGAAGCCCCCTGAGGAAGTCTACGCCGCCATGACCCATATCCAGCTCCTCCCATCACTCCATCACCGATACACCCAAGGCTACCTCTCTTGCCCAGACTTCACCACCATTTACAACAAGCTCCGTGATCTTGACCCAGTCCCGACTACTCCCTCCACGACAACCTCCTCTACATCGACACCAAAGGCACTCGCGGACTGTGCATCCCTGACACACGTGGTCTTCGTACCCAGCTCTTGGCCGAGCACCACGACGCCAAGACCGCAGGTCACCTCGGTTTCCAGAAACCCTTCGACACCATCTCCCGCTACTTCAATTGGTCGTCTCTACTCGCCGACGTCAAAACATAAATTTGCTCATGTCCCACGTGTCAGGCTGTCAATCCCTCGAACCGGGCCAACCCCGGCAAGCTCCAATCATTGCCCATCCCCACTCGTGGCAGTCCATTTCCATGGACTTCGTGTGCGGCCTCCCTAAGACCGACCATGGGCATGATTGCATCTACGTCATTGTCTGCCGCCTGACCAAACACGCCCACTTCATACCTTGCACCACCTCGCACACCGCCAAAGACATCGCCTTACTCTTCTTCGACCATGTTGCACGCCACCACGGCCTCCCCGAGAATATCATCGGCGACCTTGATCCCCGTTTCCTCTCACAGTTTTGGAAACAACTCTTCAACGCCTACGGAACTACACTCACGTATAGCACTGCATTCCACCCACAGACCGATGGACAAACCGAGAAGATGAACGATACTCTCCAAAGAATCCTACGAAAGTACTGTCATCCACATCAACACGACTGGGATCAGTTGCTCACCGTCGCCGAGGTCGCCTACAACAACGTTGTTTGTCCTTCCACTGGCATGTCTCCATTCTACCTTGATGACGCATGCCCAATGGGGCAATGCGCAGGGAGCCAAGGATCCGCTATGTGATGAAAAGGACTGAAATGGACAATGCGAGGTCAGCGTAGCATCA